GAATAATAATTACTGTACCGGACTATCAGTTGAAATTAGATAAAAGTGAATATAAAGGCCAGATATGGTGCAAAAAAATACAAAATTACAATAAAAAAATACAGATATCAGCTCCTAATTCTCAGTTTTTTAAACAGATYTAGATGTTTCTGTGTAAATGAAGCAGTGAAGCAGGGTTTAATGTGGGTCATTAACTGGTTCGAGAATTACCCAGAATCCTCCGGTGGAACCTCCGCTCTGCGCATGCGCAGGGAGGCTCGTCATCAGTGGGCGGGAACAGAAACGACCTCCTCAATCYGAGCGGGAAAGAGGGGTGTTCAAGTGTTTCACACCGACAGGCAGGATTATAACTCCAATTATTGAACACATTGTTTATTTTATTATAAATATAATATGATTGTGTGCATGTTGTGTAGATGTTAGTGTAAACCTGTGTGTTCTGGGGCGGTGAAGACCCCCAGCACCAGCAGGCTGACCCCCCGCTCCGCGGCAGAATGGTTCGGTCCAGCGGGTGTCCGGTCCTGCTCCTCCTGCAGCCGCTCGTCTCAACATGAAGCCGATAAACGGCGGGTTGTGTGGAGGAGCAGGGGAGTGGGGCTGGGATCTGCTGACCGCTCCGCTGCGCTGAAATGTGGCTTTTTATTTTAAAAACCTGATTTGTGCCGGAACACAGCGAGGCGGGCCTTCGTGAGGAGCCGCAGCCRTTAGCTCGGTTATGTCGGAGAGAAGCTCCGCCGCCGGAACCGTTTTATATTTACTGGATTCAGCAGGAACTCACTTTAACTCTTTTTATTAAGTCCGTTTGTTCAGTAGCTGTGTTCGTGTGTGAGCTGGTTTTATGTATAACACGGTGTGGACGTCGGAGAAAGCCGGAGAAGAAGGAGGCTGGCGGGACGTGATGATGCCCTACTCCACCGAGCTCATTTTCTACCTGGAAATGGACCAGCCGCCAGGTAAGACCTGTTACCTGGAAGTGGGCCGGCTTAGAGGGGAGGAGGAGGCCGCTGGCAGCTGGGTGTCCGGAGGAGGGGTGTTGTGTTCGGTTTGGCGTCCTCTGAAATCCGTGGACCGGAAGCCCGACGTCCAGCTGACGTTTTTTACTGAAATTAAAACATCCGTTTATCTTCTGGATTAAATTCATATTAAATATTATGGGATTAAATTAAATCATTTAGGCTATTATTCGGCACTAGTTTGAAATATTCCACTTTTTTTGTTTCTTTGCAGACAGAATCATTAGTCTGCAGRTTTATTTGCTGCAGGTTTTCAGACTCATTTTAAAAAGAATAAATTAAATTTTTTCCGTTTTTAAACAGCCGAAATATTTGTCTCCTGATTGCAGATGATGTGAAACATTTAGAGGTAAAAATGATAAAAACCTGCATCCTGTAATTGTACTTTAAAACTGGCTTCAAGGTGAAATAAGCCCCTCTGCGTTTTGTTCTGGATTATTCTGAATCAGCTTTACAGGAGGGGGGATGGGACTCAGGAGGACCAGGACTCAGGAGGACCAGGATTCAGGAGGACCAGGACTCTGAGCAGAACTCGGAGTAAAACCCGTCCAGACCCTTTCTAGTCTTAAGAGCTTTTCTTGACACCTATCTGGATGTCTTTGTCTCCATCTTTACACAACTGTCACCCAGAAACCACCATCATCCATCCATCCATCCATCCATACATCCATACATCCATCCATCCATCCATCCATCCATCCATCCATCCAGTCAGTGCCCCTCAGGAGGTCTGGATGGATCCAGGATCAGGTCTTGATGGATCCTGGTCTGGTCCAGTCTGATCCGTGCTCTTAGCTGTATCAGATCAGCTGTGGTTTGATTTAATTGAACCTGTCCTGTCAAAGTGGTCCCAGTCTCAGTGGAGACGGTCTGAGGGACAGTTGTCTGCTCGTGTCCCCTCATCAGCTGTCCTCAAATTAAACTCATGTTTTCACACGGTTGTGTTAAAGTTTGTCGAGACAAAGAAGCGCAGAGTTTCTTTGTGTTTTTGCTGCAGCGCTGAAGGAGTGAGCTCATCAGGTCTCTGCTCCTTTGTCCCCCTCTGTCTCTGCTGGTCTTTGTCCCCCTCTGTCTCTGCTGGTCTTTGTCCCCCTCTGTCTCTGCTGGTCTTTGTCCCCCTCTGTCTCTGCCGGTCTTTGTCCCCC